TTCAATCTGTTTCATGTATTCATGATTCAAGGCTGGCCACTTTGTATTGGATAACCAATTACAGAACTTATCCCTGGGATGGACTGTTCCTGCCACTCTCAGCATTTCTTAGTTGCCTGCATGTCTTTATCTATGGGTGGGGTTCCAAGGTTTCCCCCTTTCATGCTAGCATGTCTATGGGTAATGCTTCTTCAGGTCTTGCTTAGAAAGTCATGTTGTTGAATTATAATAGGTGAAACCTCCTTTTTATTCCAGGAGATGGAGTCTGACAGCAGTTTTCCTGTGCCTTTGCCTCTTACAGTCTTTCTGCCCCTTCTTCCTAGATGTTTCGCGAGATTCGGGTACAGGAACTCTGTTGTCAATGCATCAGTTGTGGCTGAGCACGGCAGAAACACTTGTGTTCTGTGTATTCTGACTACTTGTTGTCTGTATGGATTCTTTATGTTATGCAGAGAAGTTGCTTCAATGAGGGGTAAGAACTACACTTATCTGAGGGTATAAAGATAGATATTTAGAATGCAGTTAGGACCTAGTAAAGTAGCAGTAGTGAGTAGGTTCTCCACCAAGATCCATGACCTCACTAACCTAGGGTAATTTGTAAGGTTTCCAGTATCACCATCCAGGATTTCCTTGGATTGAATAGGCCTTAAATTCAATTAGGGAGCTATTGCTTACCTCTGAGATATTAGTGCCACTTTTGCACCATTAGACCTGAAATGACATGGTGGCCATCACTCTGACCTTTAGATGCTGTCTCTGTCTGTGTAGGATTATTGCTCATTTCCTTCCCTTGGAAACTGGATAGCACCTTCCAGTATTATGAAAGTTAGTCCTCAGACAGAAGCTTTTGGGTCAGATTCATCTTGGAACTTTTTCAGACCTCCTTAGTATTACTCATTATTTAATTATTATTTTACACTTTTTTTTCCTCTTCAGTTTTAAGAAACACATTGCCCCTCTTCCTGGAGGACTGTTGGTAGTTATTAGCTGTGGTGGGAGGGGAAGTCAGGGTCTTCAATGGTGTAACCGCTGGTGAGTTGCCTGTGCTCCAGCACATAGATCAACACCCATGCCCTATGCTGACAATCTTGGTGACACTGAATGAGTCATAAAATAAAGCAGAAAGACATTGTGTGTGTGGGGGGGGGGGGCGAGAGGGATACCTGTTGATTGAAGAGAGAGAGTGGGGGAGGATGAAAGGGGGTAGAGGGGTAATGTGGCTATATGCATTATATGACAATTTCCAAGTATAGATGCAATGGGGGGCACTTGGCAAAAAATTGTAGACACCCCAAAGACAGGTGTGAGTCGGTTTTCTATCTTAGCCTCCAGTTGGAGAATTTATTTGCCATCAGGTCTCAAGGAAAACAGGAACACAATGAAAAGCTACAAATGTTTTCAGAATACATATTTGAATTAATGAGATTGATGTGTCAATATTCAGAAATCTTTCTTTCCCAGGGGAGGAGCATTTTTAATAAAAATAATGAAAATGAATCTAGCTTTCCATTTGTCATTTGTCATTGCTTTAGCAGTAGTTGAGAAATTCCAGGAACAGGCTATTTAACCTTCATGAATCTCACTTTCTGTATTATTCAATTTGACTAGATTTCTTACAGTTTCTTAAAACTTGCTATTTAAAGTTAAGAGCATGTTCTTATTTATCAAGAATAAATAAGGATACTTACAATAAAAGCAGGACCTATTTTGGGGCTGTGCATCAGCCAATCTGTTGCTAGACCTTCCTATGGAAAATTAAAATAATTACAATAAGTATTAGGTAATACCATTTTTAATTTGTTGTTTTGCTTTAGAGTCTTTCTGAAAGGTTTCCTTTCCTTCTAAATATTGATCTAGTGTGATCTTAGCAAAGAAAATACACATATATTTAGGTGGATGTGAGAGTGTATGCATAGGATCTCATTAATTAGAGGATTGCTTAAGCTCAGAAGTCAGAGACCAAATTAGACAACAGAGCATCATCCATCTCAAAAAGGAAATTGCTTATATCTTGCAAAACTTAGGATTATAGTTAAAGCAAAGGAAAACATCATACTGTATTTCAAAGAAAGAAAGAAAATATACAGCACCCCAAATGAGTTAAGATTCCTAGCAGCTCCACTGCAATCAGCTTGAAGAAGCTCTTTCTATTTGCTCAGTTTTCAGCATGTTTTACTATGCATGTGTGTGATGTAGATGCAAGGATCAACTATAACTGCGGCCTCCCCATTTTCATCTCCACGGTGAAAGATTACTTGAATAAAATGTGAAGTAACACCTGTGCTCATCCCCCTCCCTCAGGGAAGAAGGAACTCCTATTTTAGGCCCTGTGAGTCTAGAGGATTCAAACAAGGTGCTGTAGCTCATGATTAGGTCAGCAACTATTGCTCAGAAGTTACACCTGCTGGCTATGTGTAGTAGGAGCTGCGGGCCTCTTCCCACAGCCCAGCTCCTGGCCGCTTGGCTAGCTTATACCCCAAAATAACAACACACAAATTGTATTTTTTAAACACTGCCTGGCCCATTAGTTTCAGCCTCTTAACCCATTTCTAATAATCTATGTAGCACCACGAGGTGCGCTTACCAGGAAAGATTCAGCATGTCTGACTTGGTGGCCGGCTGCATAGTGTCTGCACTGGAGAAAGCTGCATGGCGTCTGAGCTCACTTCCTCTTCCTCCCAGCATTCTGTTCTGTTTATTCCACCTATCTAAATTTTAACCTATCAGGGCCAAGGCAGTTTCTTTATTTAACCAATGACCTTCCTCCATCAGTTATGGTTTAACAAGTGCTTTACCATGATGCATGGAAAGTTCTTCAAAGAAATTGTTGACTGGTGCTAAGAGGGGAAACCATGGTGAGAGCTTACACGCTGGTATGTAGAATATCGGTTATTATGCATTAAAATATGTCTTATATTAAAAATATCACCACATTCCCACTAACAGGTGTGAATTTTTTAGGATTAAGAGACATTAAAAGATAGTTTTGGTAATGCAAGTTAGAAGAGAAAGTGAATTAGGTATAACCTTTTGGACTCTTCAAAACAGGATAGATAATGGAGTATTTTTTCTGAATTTGTCAAATATCTATGGACTAAACATTGCTGATGTATTTATTGATTGTATGTATTGTATATAGTTTTGTACTTATTGTATATAGTTTTTCTTATATTAGTTATAACCTTATTTTCTTATTTTAGACAAAAAAGGGAAATGTGATATTTTGTTTGTGCTATAACAAATAAAATTTGCCTGAGGATCAGAGTGTAGAGCAAGTCACTAATTAGCCATAGAGGCCAGGCAGTGGTGGCACACACCTTTAATCCTGGCACTCAGGAGGCAGAGGTAGATGATCTCCATGAGTTCAAGGCTACCTTGGACTATACTAGATTGATCCAGTCTCAAAGAGAAATAGAGCCAGATGGTGGTGGCTGACACCTTTAATCCAGGTACTTGGGAGTCATACACCTTTAATTCCAACACTAGGAAGGTGGAGACAGGAAGCAATATGGCTGCGCAGAGAGAGGAATATACGGTGGGAGGAGATAGGAGCATTGCATTCAGTCCGAGGATTTGTAGAGATAGGATACGTTATTTAGTTTGAGGATTTCATAGAGGTAGAACTAGTAGCTAGCTGTTCTGCTTCTCTGTTCTTTCAGCCCTAATATCTGACTCTAGGTTTTTATTATTAAGACCAATCAGAAATCATGCTACAGGTATCCAATCACATTCTGATTACATCTGAGGCCTGATCCTCTGGAGGGAATTCAGGCTTGCTTCTGTAAATTTGAGCACAAGTTCTTGGTTGTGGAGGTGGCAGATCTTAGGGAGGAACCTACAATTATTGTTTTGCTGAACAGTCATGGTGTCAAATTGCTTCTAAGTACTGCTGTTCATATTCAAAGTTTAGTGCCTCTCCAGCCTTCCTCAGAAGCTTCTTATTGCAGCATGTGCTGGTTGATGCAGAAACTTACAACTGCCGCAAGTGTTGAGAATAAATGATGGTGGAATCCGTGGCTTCAGCTGGGACGGCTGTAAGGTAATACGCTAGTTCCAGGAAGAATGTAAGAGCCAAGCTGGAAAAATGTGCAGCAAAATGATGTCTTCCGGAAACGGAAAACAAACCCCAGCAAACTGACAACATGCACACACAAACTGTGGTGCTCATGAATTCGTCGCAGCTGTGGTTAGCAGAATAAGACTTGCACAAGGACCCAAGCATTTCATCCTGGAGAAGGGAGGGACCCACGATATCCCATCCCTCCCAGAGGAACCATGTGTAGTTAATGTTTGTTGTGGGAGAAGTGTTGTTTTCATAAGCGCTACAGCCACAGATATATTCCTCTTATTCCACTGAATGTCTTCCTATCAAAGATTAGCCAAGTAACACAGTGGACCACACACATGGAAAGCATGACCATAGGAGGGAGGCTTGTGAAGAAGTGTGCTAGTTATACGGGGAGGGAGAGTGGGGAAGCAAAAAGATAGAGGATGGAACTTGTCAAAGTTTATTATATAGAGTATTAAATTGTTAAAAAATAAAAAAATAAGAAAATAATTTTTAAAAAATGGAAAAAGGTTGGAAGGCTGAGTTTATCATCTAGGGATATCAGAAGCTCTATCCATAAAATCTCACTAGTGTGACTTCCCAAACATGAGTTGACCATGCACAACAGTAGATGTGCTAACACGGATAAGGCAAAGTGCCTTAGGCTTCAACCCTACATAACAAACTACAGACAACCAGGGAATGCTGGCCGTGTGAGGAATAGTCTTTGCCAGGGAAGAGCACACCAACTGGGTATCCAATACCAAGTGGTCAGTCCTGAAATCATGAATACAAGTAACAAACAGACAGATGCTTCCGAATCTGTTTCTGAGAAATGATTTTGAGGGGGAGCCTAACAAACAAACAAACAAACAATGAAACCAAAGCGAAAACCAGACAGTTAACTGACTTTTCATACTTCTTTATCTCTCTTTCCTTTTCTCTGATCCAGGATTACCAACCGGATCAACTGTTTCCAATCGTGACAATTTCCAGAGATTTTCCTGTAGAGAAATGAAATCTTATTTGCCACAAGATGGATGGGCTGAAGACATTAAGTGAGATAAACCAGACACAGAAGGACAGCATGCTATCTCTTTATGTGGAAGCAGCAAAGAAAAATGACCTGAATGAAGAAATTGTTATTATTGGAGGTTGAAGGAGGGGGCGGGATGTGGATTAAAGGAGGTAAGAGTTCTCAGTGCTTGTAGAAGCCATGGATTGAAACACTGCATCTCTCCCTATTTGTATGTACAATTAATGCACATTAACAACAAAACAATAATAATAACCCTAACTAAAATGAACCTCAATATGCTTCAAAAGTGTATATATACTTAAATATGTGTGTATAACATATTCATGCATATATTATATACATTACATATATGTATACACTTATATATGTATACAAAGATATATAATATATACTTTTTAAAAATCTGCAAACTTTAAAGAGTATAATTTATATGTTTTCATCATGGAAAATGAGCACATGAGATGTTAGATTTATTAATTAGACTGATTTTCCACATTATAACTATATATCAAAACATTATTTTAAAAAAATAATTATATAAAAATCACAAAAGAGGAAAGAAAATTTGTAAATACCTTTTACTTCCTAGTTACTCAACAAAGCTGAAGGTCACAGATATGCTTGAGCACGGACTTCATACTCTTTCATGAAGATACAATTCTGTTATTATTATTTTCTGGTCTAACAGAAACAATATCTCATGAATGAGGAAATGATTGATTTATTGTTCCTTTGGGTTAAAGTTTAAATGAAGCAGTGATAGATGCAGACTCTCGGAGGGTCAGTCCCATGCTGCTCAGCATGGAAACGCTGGGTTGAACGCACAGACAAAGGATCAATGAATTCTTGCCCTCTTCTTCCTTCGTGTGTTCCTCCTGGCTCGGATGGCACACAAAGTCCTACTTCTGGAACTCCCTGTTGCTTTACAATTGGCCTGCTTCCAGATCTTGACTTGTCCTAAATCATTTGAGGCATCAGTCTGACTTTGCTTCACTTATTATTTTTCCTATGGTGCCCTACTTGAGACTCACTCAGTTTCCAATGCCACACTCTTCAATGGTAACTGTTATGATACCATGGCCCCTGGCGGTAGCACAGAACACTCAGGTCTGTTTGGCCCTGGCAGCAGCATAGCGCACGGAGACTAATTTTGTAGGTGGTGGTCATGGGTGCAGGTTAGTTGGCCCCGAGGGTGTGATATCAAAAGAACTGGCCACGTTTCTTGTTGCCTGCTGCAGTGGATGAGCTAGCAGGGGCAGTGCTGGAGATGTCGCCCTGGTGATGATGATGATGATGCTCGCAGACTGACCAATCTAGTTACCACCCAGACCTAGATCCAGGGCTGAGTTGGCCCACCCCAACATTCACGTTATCTGTGAACTGCTGGAGCATGTGAAGGGGCTGGAACTGCGGATCCCCATAACACAAGGAAACAACAGGATATTCAGGAGGAGTCCCAGTGAAACCCCAGTATCGGTAGTATAGAAAAAGCCAGAGGCCTGGAACCAGACCAATAACTCCCTCCAAAGAATACTTATGAGCAAAGATTTATGGACTCACTGTGTCTTCCAAGCTGAGAGATTCTTGTTTGTCTATTTTTGTTTCTGCCTTTTGTTTGTTTTAAACTTTATTCTATTTTTGTGTGTGAGGAGTAGTTTGTAAGGGCAGTGGCCAGATATGAAGGAACAGGGAGATGAATAGGATTGGGATGGATAACTTGAAATCTATAAAAAAGATAAAAAATAAAAGAAAAAAATTCAAAATTCAAAGAAAAAAGGAGAGAATTGTCCTTCTTCTGCATTGGCTAGAGTTCCATTTTTTTATATTAGTTAGGCTAAAAGAGTTCATATGTTTGGCTCACATCAGTGGAGGACTTTTTCATGGATTACATATATCATAGTCTACCACAGCTGTTCTACTTCCAGCCAGGGACTTAACAACACTTTATAATGCTCCAGATTTGGTAGTGACTCTGTTCATTCCTACTCAGGCAATTGTTGATGTGCTTGATATCATTCTTGGCCTTTGGTGCTAAATAATAACATTTAGTAAATGTTTTTGTCACATCTAATATATTAAGAGCCACAGAAACCTTTGCTTCCCATTATTAAAAGCGAGGAATCTTAGAAGTCAGCAATGGTAACTATATATATAGTTAATTGAATTGTTGGCTTGAAACAACATTTCTAATAAACAACTCAATGGTGTATGATAAAGGCAAATTCATTACATGTAGACTATAATTAAAAACATGGAAAATTACATGCAGCAGTTCTCTCTACTGTTAAGTTAATAACTGTCTCTCCTAAAACTTATTTTCTAAAACGCCACCTGGAAAACCAATAAATATTCATTACACATATTAAATGTAAATTTATGAGAGTAGAAGGTTATCTATTTGAATGTCACCTATATTAAGAAGCACAAAGAAGAGGCAACATGGATGCTTATCCCGGTCCATGTTTTATCACAAAGGTTTTGATCTTTGACAAATTCCTCACCCTATTCTGGCCCATTTGGAAAATGGAGTTTTATATTCCTGGACTCTTTTTGTTTAAGTGAATTGTAAACATAGATTAAGATACCTGGAAAACATAAAATATGTAAATGTAAAGTTTTCATACCTTAATATTTTCAAGGTTGAAAAAAAACACTTCATTTGGCATATAACATTAAGTTTTCTTGAAGCATTTCCAGTTTAAGAAAAAACTCCATATATATAGTTTAGTCATGAGTCAATGCAAAGACTTAGCATGTGTGCACTGGGCTTCAAATATTATAACATGAAATCAAACACAGCCATCAGGCATGTGAAGAGATTTAAGTCAAAAAGAGCATGCTACATTTGCGGAGTACTAACCGCTTTAGGCTCATTTGATCTCACAAACCCATCATAAATCCAAAGAGATTAGCTAAATACGTGTGTACCAGGAAGACCAAAGCATTTGCTGCATAGCATCTGTCCTGTTAAAGTGACGTCAAGGGAATCTTATATATAAATACAAGTAATTTAATTTTTAACTGTTCACAATAAATGAAAATACCTATGTAGTTACAGCATGCGTTTAACCTTGTTTTAAGCACTTGTGATGCTCCTTCAGAAGGAGGGGTCAATTTTTCTTCCTCTAGATACAAGCCTCACCTTGCAACAGGACTCTCTGGCATTCCTGTGACCTGACGTTCAGCAGCAGCTCTGACCATTGGCTGCAGTGACATCTATAAATTGTGGTTTGGAGATATTTCTGCACTTTGCTGTAGATGGCAGAACATCTTGGCAGGTAGCCAGTTCATCAAGCCATAATGAATTCCTGGGTCATTTGGCTTCCATGAATGAACCTATCACTCCAAGGTCTGGTAGTGTGGAAGAAATTTATTTTCTGGTCTTAAGACCCTAGAAGGTTTAATATGCCTTTAATTATTCATATAGTTGGTGTCTTGAGAAGGACACAAACTTCAGATCATTAAGTGTTCATGTCATTTGTTATGGGCAAAAATTCAAGAGGAAAAGATGCCACTATGAAAAAGGGTATTCTGTAACATGTACATATACACACACAAACACATACACACATGCACACACATATACACAAATACCCCACATAAAACAAAACAAAATTATAATTTGCTGACTTATATTAATGATTTTCAATAATTAAAATAAATTTTTACAGAAAAGTAAAAATTCAGCCCCCATGTGTGTGAAAAGCTAATCTTCAGATTCTGGAATACATTGTAATGCCTCTAGCTTTATATTTATCTATTGAGTCCATGAACTGTAAAACAGCACTGTTGACACATGATATTGAATCATAGAACATGTCTGTGCTGTAGCCTGGCTGATAGTGTGTTACAGGAGAGAGTGTTACAGGAGTTATTATTGAATGAGATGAGGAATAATGTTGAAAACACCATTAGACTAAACAGAATCTTGAAATGTGATGAAAGTAGGCATGCCAAAGTCAGAAATACGCTCTCATCTCTCAGGAGGAGTAGAAGTGCTTCTTATGTTCAGATAAGGAGAGAGTAAGACTTATGCAGTGATGAGCACCAGCGCCAGGGCAGGGAGACTGTGTAACTTCAGAGTCTGAAGGACGAGCAAAGGAGAGTGGAGAGTGAACCCAGCAAAGCCCATCAGCAGCCTTCCTTCTTACACTCATCCAGTGTCTTCTCAATGATTGTTTCTAGTCTCTGCATAGGTAGCTCAGAGCATGCTATAAATCAAGTATGTTTTAATTAACTTAATTTGATGAATGGGTGGATACAGCAGTAATAAAGAAGACATCATGAGCAAAGACCACACACATCTTAGAACTAAATCCTCTGCCAGAACCCGAGCACCTTTCTTTTCAGATGGTTTTGTCAACTTGTAGTCTCCTTAACAGACCGTGGAAAGAGTCTTTTGACATGTCTTCTTATGCTAAGAATTTGTTTTTGAACTTGGATGAAGTTATACATAAGAACGTTGATATGAGCGAGGTGACTTTTAGTGAGCTATCATTTCCTCCTTTGTGGTTTGTTCTCCCCCCTCCACAAGCTTTGTTGACATATCTTAACTTGATTTCCTAGGAACTATCCTGGACTAGAGCATGGGAACAAACCTGAATTTGGTAATCAATCCTGGAAAATGCTGGTGAAAGAATGGGGAAGTGAGATGGGAGTAGATATGCACACTGACCAGACTATCTGAGCAAGGCTGGCGACTTCTATACGGTCGTGTAGCTGAAAAATTTAGCTGTGCCCTCCCTGCAAGACTTAATATTAGATCACATGGTCTTGATTTTCCTGAACTGCTGGATGGTGAAAGAAGGGACTTCTGTTCCCTGGCATTTTCAGCCCACCATAAGGTGCAAGAGAGGGCTCATAGATAGAGAGATATAGGTGTTGGCCTTTGGAATAGTTCAAAATTCACCTCATGACACCAGAGAAAATGCATCAAGAGACTTGAGACTTGAGATGTTTAGCACAAGATAGTATAGTACCTTTCTAAAATTTTTTTCCAGCAGCAAGTCAAGCTTGGGCCTTGAGAAATAGCTTTGTGCTTAAGAGTGCCTGCTGCTCCTGCAAAAGACTCA